TGGTGCAAATACGAACAACACTGCTATTGTTGTTGGCGAGAAGGCTGCTGATATCATCATCAAGGATCTGGGTCTTGGTCCATCGGCTAAGTTGTGAGGCTGAGGTGGCTTGCTGACTAGTAGTCTGTCTTCGAAAGCTGACCTGGGCATGAGCAATGTTTGTAAGGACACTGACGAGATGAATCTGGTTTTATGTTTGATAGTAGCGTAGCAATGAGTAACGAATACACACAAGGTCTTGAAACCTGAACAACATACGTTTCCGGAACATGCATCTACACGGTCAGGGGCTTTCTAGTGACTTGCAAGATCGAAGCCCACACACTTCGCCATTTCATCAGTAATGAAACCCATCACGAGCAATAGCACGGCCTACAACACGGGTCTCCTTCCGGTTTTTCTTAAGTTATACATGTCCCCCGCGTTATCGTGAATCTTGCAAAAATGATTCGAGCATGGTGAGGCTGGGAGGGTAGAAGTGGCTGCCAACCGCAACACAGCCCAGTCTGCATTCTACAGACCTTCAGGAGCTTCCAACACTTGGTACAGACTTTGTCCAGTGCAACAGCAAAAAAGGGAGTATGGGAAAACACCAAAAAACATACAACAGCGGGGATTCGCTGGTCGTCACCGACCCAACTACTAATCCGCCGGTTAGTGGCTTGACTATGGGAGAGCAGACGGGATCCCGTATTTTCCACTACCTATGGTCGTATGTACCAGTGATGCTGTCGTCAAAACCTATATCCGATCTGTTTGGACAGCGTGAAGTGTCTGGTTTACCAACCTGCGGGTCAACAGTGCAGATCCATCCGCACTCCACAAGACAAAGATTTCGACCCAGTACCTCTACAAGCTCTCTTATAGGGTAGTGGCCATTCCGATCTCAAGTAATGGCATTCGCTCTAGTTGTAGTGAGTTTGCTCATTAGTGTTGACGTCCTGAACCTTTGTCAGCCTCGGTTGACCTCCTTCGAGGGATGTCCAGATGGAAACTACCCTGCTGTTTTGTTTCACTTTGAGAAACATTCCCATGAATGCCTCGGCTTTAGATTCAATATACTATCTTCAACAGTCGGCAGGCTAACACTGGCCCTCAGCCTAATCGAGCGTGCGGCCCTGTGCATTACTGGGAGAAGCTGCCAAGACGCTTTCCATGGAAATAGCAGCAATTGTTGCATAATGTGTGCCAATCGCATGTAAAATCTACCAGGATCGCATCAAGTATTGCGGGTTAATAGGCTTTCCCTTTATGGTGTTAAATACCGAGCAGGTTGCAGTGCATTCGTATTAAACTGGGTTTCAGTGCGACCAACAAACTTCATGAGACAGGGTTGTGACAATCTCCACATCATACATGCACGAAGATACATACGAGCTACCGGAAAGCGCTTGGGGGGGTTCCAGTACTAGTAAAGCCCTTCATCGTCATTCGAGAGCATAGTCGTAGCTACAAAGCTCCATCGCTCCTATGCCTTAAATCAAGGCAGTTTGGGTAGCTTGTGCGAAGAGTGACAAGCGGCGGGCCGCTCGGGAACAAGGGCGATCGACAAGGATAATGCCCCAGAAGCCCGAGGCGGAAACGGCGGCTTTCCCAATTGGCCTCGTCTATCCTGAATATTAGCCGAGTGGAGATACAGCATATGATACCACTTAAGTTACACGCAAGCATGAACAGGTCATAAAGAGGGGGACGTCCCAGTGTTGGCTTGCAGACTTCCTGCAGAGCCTTGTGTCGTTAGCAAAATGGCTTCTCCAGCTGCTCAACCAACAACCGAACGTGCTGAAAGCCCTGCTGATGTACCTGCCGTACTAGAAGCAGAAGTACCGTACCCAATTACTAGGTAAAATAGTAGCTAATGAAGAGTAGGATGATGGCGGAGACGCTGACTCTACGTTGGACCTCGGGTCAGTCATGATGACGGACATCTTGTGAATTCTATACTAACAGTCAGTGCAGAGAGGGTTCTTCCAGCTACATGACATCTCTCAAATCAAGCATTTTTAGCTACAGGTGAGAGGTCACACTTCAAGCCGACCATTCTTCTTACTAAAACTCTACAGATATGAGGTAGGGCATACGAGATCCCCGAGTGATTGGAAGCCTAACAGCTCAACAGCACGGCCGTCGATATCATGCTTTCCACGAAGGAGCATACCTAGTGGTTAGTTTTCTCGACTATCGGATGTTCAAGTGAACTCGACTAATCATACACTGTAGCCAAACGACGACGAAGAGCAGAACCGCATGGATCTGGTTCATCATATCTACAGTCTTCTTCTAGAAGGGAAGCTACATACTGCTCCGATTGACAATCCCCAACGTGTCCTTGATCTGGGCACAGGTACTGGCATCTGGGCAATCGATTTTGCAGAGTAGGTTATAGCTTCTCGGTAACTAGCTGAAGCCCCATTGCTGACCTTGGCAAGTGAGCACCCTTCAGCCGAAGTAGTCGGTACAGATCTGAGCCCCATCCAGCCTGACTGGTGAGTTATGAGCATGCCTTCCCCTTAGCCCAAGCTCATATTGCTTTGCAGGGTTCCTGCCAACTGCGTCTTTGAAGTCGATGACTTTGAAGACCCTTGGGTTTACAAGAAGCCGTTCGACTACATCCATGCCCGAGAGCTTGAAGGATGCATCGGCAACGAGCAGCAGTTCTTTGATCGTGCGTTCGAGAACCTCAACAGCGGTGGCTATCTCGAACTCCAAGCCCAGCGTGGTTTCTTCATGTCAGACGACGACTCTATCAAGCAGGCCGTGAACGCAGAGGTCTGGGCCGAAGCAGTTCGCGACAGCAGCAGCAAATTCGGAAAGCCTATTGACTGCGCCATGAACTGGAAAGACAAGGTGATCAAGGCGGGCTTCGTGGATGTCCACGAAGAAGTCCGAAAAGTGAGTATTATACCTGTCGAGAAAGTATGTCGTTAGCTAATGATGAGGCAGATTCCAATAGGTGCCTGGCCTAAAGACCCTATTCTGAAGGAAGTTGGCAAATGCCAGGTTGTTCAGTCTTGTGCAGCCATCGACTCATATACTCCGATGCTTCTGGAAAAGGTCCTTGGATGGGGCAAAGAGGAAACTCAGGTTCTTATGGCGAAGGCGAAAGGAGAGCTACGAAACCCCTCTATTCATCTATATCTTCCTGTCTACTTCATTTGGGGGAGAAAGCCATAGAATTCCGGCCTGTGGTTGTCAGTACCAAGGGCATGATTTCGAAATGTACAGGTGATGTGAAAGGCAAATAAAAAGATGCAGACAAGTCCACTGAATCATGTAACTAGCGTTGCCGAAATACGATAGGACTCACATAATATCTGCGCTGTGAGCCCTTCTTTAAATCTCGCTCGTTTAGCAAATTGTGATAAGAAAAAAGAGCTACACTCGCAAGCTCTCATCCTGTAATGATCTGTGCGATCTGGGGAGAAGCTGGGTTTGAGTCAAATTTCCAAAACCTGGAGAACAGAGCGCCGGGTTTCCGGTCCCGGCTTTGACGACTTCAAACGACCATAGACGACGGCTGGCAGACTTCTCGGCGTACTGACCGGGCTGCCACCGCCACCGAGGGCGATTATAAAAAGTCAAGGACGGGGAGGAGAAGGTCGCGCTCAGGAGAACGACGAAAAAACAGATGCTTATCGATCGCAGCCACGGTCGCATGGGCGGGGCGACGAAGATTGGCGTGACGGGTACCGCGATTCACGCAAAGATCGACGAGGGCGCCGGCGAGAGCCTCCCAAGGTAGCTTCTCTGAATTATGTGCCATGTCTAATATGGTGCTCTTCGCAAATGCTGACGGGAAAACGGTTGCGCTCACCAGCTCTCAGCCTGTCGTCTTCGCCCACGTTCAATGTTCACCGTCTGGATGCCAATAATCTTCACCCATGGCCGAGCTATTCTGCGCTGGCGCCTAGCCCCTCGCACTCTTACTAATGCATTGTCGAGTCAAATCTTCTAGAGTTAGACCTACTCAACGATGGCACATCGTGTATGCCAGTCTGGATGCAGTTCTTGGCAATGATCAATGAGGTGGGATGCCCTCCGCTAACAGAGCCCCTATGGCCCACTAAACTTACAGCACTGTTAGCCGCTCTGCCGCTAAGGTTTCTGAGATCGTTGTTGACAGCGGCTGAAGGTGGCGCTAAAGGTAACCGATTTTCTTCTATCACAGGGGTCTGATTCCTGGTTCTCATGGGGAAGAGGAGATGGGCTCTAATGGTGCGATTCTGCCAAGCTCACGAGATTAGTGGAATGGGCAAGCCTCCAAATTCCATTGACCTTCACTAACTTAGCAGAGGGCTGGCGTTTGGACCCCGCCACCAAATGAAACAGCTCGTTGGAAAACGGCATTCGTTGGAGGAATCACAACAGTTAGGAAGGCATGTGCACCAATCAGTAATACTTTAACCAACTTCATAAATTTCTTTGCGATGTACTCTCATAATTAGCTTGTTGATTGCGTCGTGTTTGTCCTGGCGAAGATAGCCTCTATGCCTGTCAAACATCCATCAAAGGTAACCTTGGCGGGGGATTATCCGCTAAAACCCCTGTAACACGGCACACAGGACGTTTGTACCCACTGAGGCGCTGGGTTTATTTAGCGACCGCACATCAACCAACAGCACTGCCGAACACTACCAACAGTTTCTTTGCTTTTGACCATGCAAACGTAGCCTCGCTTGCCTGAAACTCTGCAAGGGTTTGTTTATCTTATTGTCTCTTTTCCCTCTGTAATCGAGCCATGTTACACTGAGCGAAGAGGAATCGGAGCCCGGCTGCAATTTCCCCGACAGATCCTGGCTCCCAGCAAACGCAATGCACAAAAGTTGTTTGCTCTTGCTACCTATGAGCCAACAGAACAGGCCCAGAGCCTGATTCATTCTTCCCCTCCTTCATCCCGCTCCTAGTTCCTCTCTTCGCTTCAGAGGGGAGCGCCTATATCTTGAAGACATTCCTGACCGTTGCCGCCAACTCTTCTCGACCTACAGCCCGAATTGCGCATCATGAATGCGAACCGCAACGAGGCACCAGCCTCTTACGATGACATTGGGGTCGGTGACACACACCCAGACGTGCAGAAATGCGTCAATCGGATCTTCAAGGCATCTGGTAAATATCCCTGGGACTGGCTGCCACGCGATTACGTTCCCAAGGTCGCCGCTTGGGGCACCAACGCCGCGCTGAACCTCGCCCTTGCCGTTGAAGCTGTTCACGCTCCTGGGTCAGCGGTGACCATGGACGAACTGCGGGAGTTCCTGGTACGGAAGGCCAGGGAGCGCCAGAAAGTGAGCAAGAATGGCAAGGCAGTCAAACCCACCATGAACTCAGATTGCGCGAAGGCTAGAAAGTGGATTGAAGACAACATGGCCAACTCCCAAATCACATCGAAACAGAACAAGTACAAACGGTCGAGCCATGATGGTGCCTTTAGGAAAGTGAGACCGAAAACATGGCGCAGGCTCACTATCGCTCAAAAGCAGCAACCTCAGGACAATCTTGACGATGATGATGATGATGATGACGATGACGACGACGACGATCCATTCCCAGGGATCGACTTCAGTAGGGAAATGAGTGTTCTCAGCGATATCAGCAATGTGAGCAGTGCAATCGGTCCATCCGATCGGCCTCAGCACTCCCCTCCGCCGCCGCCCGATTGGACTTGGACTCAGAAGCGGGACATGCCTCCTCGTATGCTTCCATATATTGTTTTCGACCCGATTCATGACTAACACCATCTCAGCACCCTGTCCAGTCCCTAGCAAACGCTCGCGTCAGGTCGAGCAATTTGTGTCGACCAACATCGATGACTCCAAGGAAGCATTCAGCCTAGTCGATGCAGAGGAAGAAGCTTGTCTCAGTCAAGTTGTCAGTACCGTACCCCATCTGTTGATATTAAAGCCGACGTTGATTTATTTCACTTAATAGGAAGCGACGATGTTCTATGCTATCAATCGCAACCTTCGGACAGTAGGCGAAAGGATTGATGCTGCTGAGTTCTGGCGCAACGTATACAACCAGGAGATTCACAATACCCGAAGAAAACTAGCTTCAATCGAGATGCAAGCCAGTCACTGCGTCTCAATAGCCACGAGAGAACGAGACGAAAAACGTGAGAAAGTGAGGCAAGTGAGGGAGGAAAAGGAGACCCTTCACGTGGTGATCGAGAACCAAGGTGGAAAGTGTTCAGACGCTCTGCAAAAAATGTACGACGGCTTTATCCTGGAGTATGAAGACGAGCAGAAGGAGCTCAAGAAAGCCCAAAACACTTTGGAAGCAATAGAAGAGGAAAATCAGAAGAACAAGCAACGTCAAGACGAACAAGATAAGATCGCATCTCTAGAGAAGGACATTACCAAAGAAGAAGAGATCATCAAGCGGGCGACGAGGAGGAAGTTAGCACTCGAGACAGTCCGGTGTAATGTGGATCTGGACAGATTTCTGTCTGCTCCTGACGAAGTGCTATGCGCAGCGCATGAAGCAGCCATGAAAGGGTAAGAGTACTTGTCGTAGCACAACTTTTGTTGCTACAGCCAGCCACCTGGCGAAGTCTGGAGTATCGGTTCAACCATTACTATTGGGTGCAAGTTCAGTTTTCGAGAGCGATTGTACTGTCAAAGGCTTTATGTGGCGAATGGGTGGTAATGATAAAAAGGACTTGGTAGCTCATTTTGAGAGGGGATAACTCTAATTACAACTAGAATCAAGTGCAAACGTGGGTATCTACTTCATAATAACAAGGAAACATCAAACCCTTGCCTTCCTGTGGCCTTCTTGTCTCGCCGCCTGTGCTAGATGGTTGGTCGTGAGACCTGAGTTCCTCATGGAGAGACAACAGCCTTGAATCCATCTTGGATAGCCTCTCCTTCAAAATTCTCTCAATGACCAGCTCCTCAAACACCGCAACATCATCGAAGGAGTCAGACTCTTCCTCATCGAGGTCTCCGTCTCGTCGTCTGTGAGTCGCGAAGCGTAGCGGCGTCTGTGTTGGCTTGACTTTCCGAACAAAGTCTCGCCGTCGAGTGTTGTACCTCTCAGACCTTGCACTCCAGAAGTCTTTGGCCATCTCGCCGAGCTCAAGAGTTCTTGCTGTTGTAAGTCCAGCGTGATTCACATCGACCTTGGACTTCCACTTGCCGGGCTTGTAAGTCGTGAAGCTCATCTCTTTGATGTTGTGTCGTATTCTCATGTCAAGGAAGTGTCCCGAAGCTGGGAGGACCTTGTCAACAAGGCCCATGTCTCTTGCTTGAGAAGCAGATATGGGCAGCATAGCACGCAAGATAAACCTTGCGCGTTCTGGTCCACAGCGACCGACGTAGGATAGAGAGTGATACTCTGAACCATAGAGTCCGAGGGTCCGATAGGCGGGATTGAGGACGACTTCGGAGCCTGCGATGACCACGTCGCAAGCCGCTGCCAAAGCCACGCCACCAGCAGCACAGTTCCCTCTCAGCGCCGCAATAGTAGTGATGTTCTTCCGAGGAAACACATCCAGTAGCATATGCACTACATCATCAATGCGATTGATGTTCTTCCAAGACTGTGCTGCAGGATCATCACTGGCTTCGATGACGTTGAGGGCAATACCGTTGCTGAAATATGAGTCGCCGCCCATGAGCACGACGGCATCAAGAGCCTCTTGTAAAGCGACGAACTCGAGGGCTTCAATGAGTCGCGAGCACTGAGAGGTGCTCATGGCGCCGTTGTAGAACTCGAAGTAGACGAAGGCGACTTGGCGCTTGCCTGTGCTCGCAGCAAACTCTACCCAGATCTCTTGGTGGGTTGAGTATGTTGCTTTAGACCAGTCGAGGAGAGGGCGTAGTGATACTGAAGTATTCAGGATGCTTTGGTCGATGAGGCCGAGCTCGAGAAGGCCTGTGACAGCGGGGACTTTGGGCCAGAGCATTGGATCAACCTTGCGCTTCACTCGACGGATATGAGTGATCCAAATGCCTTGTCCATCACATGTGGCAACGCAAACAGCATCGTCTCTGCAACCGATGATCTGCCCAGGTCCACGCTTGCATTTCGCATCTCTCCCAGCCTCAATCGTACCTCCGTAGACGTAGAGACCGACTCCTCCAAACAGCTTTGTGAGGCAGCCAGGCTGCGAATCAGCAGACCTGATCTTTCGCGAAATCGTCCGAGCGGGTTCGTATTGGATGTCGAAGTTGCGGTCCGCTGCCTTGAGAAGTGGTCGGCGATGTGTTGGTCCACCGAGAAAGGGCTTGCGCAGTGTCACTGATAGACTCTTATAACTGCGGTTGGGGACGAGGTCAACCGATATTCCACGAATGTCCTGTTTCTCTAGCAGTGACAGGCGAGATAGAGCTGCTGCGATGCCTGAATCGGAGAAGCCGTTAGCTGCCGAGACGATGCGGTGCAGAGCAGTAGCGGTGGCAGTAATGGCTGCTTGGGTGACCTCTTTGCGGTAGAGGGTTGACTTGGTGACTCCGGGCGCATCGATGTCGATCTTGAACTGCTCAAATGCCCAGACTGGACCAGCGTCCATCTCATCAACAGCTTGCAATACTGTAACACCCCAGTGCGACCGGCCGTTCTGGCTCCAGGATTGGGATTTGAGTAGCTGATCGGAGTCTACGGCGTTGCCATCGTCGCCCATGAGCACCCAGTCGAGGGCGCTTGGTCCTGCGTCACCTGGCGGTCCAGGATGGATGATGAGGGTGAGATACTTGGTGAAGATCTCGCTTGGGACTCGCGTAGTCAGAAACGGGCAGACGATGACGTTTGGTTGAAACAGGGCCGCCGCCTCGATCATGGCTTTGTCGGATAGCGCATACTCAATCGTGACGTCGTGTTTCTGACTGAGGATAAGGTACAGCTGCTGAGAGAGCGAGTTGTGCGCCGTGCAGAGAAAGAGGATCTTCATTGGCGGCGTAGTAGGCAGGCGACGCTCACCAGCATCGCTTGAGCGACTGGTCTCGCTAGTACCTCGTGATAGCTTCAGTGAACCCATTGTGAGATGTTACGACAGGATACTTTGTGTGCAGCAGCAGCAGCTGGGGGAGTCAGATGGCAGCATCATGGGGTTTAAGTAACAATCTCCACAGGCAGGTCAGTGAATAACTCACGCTTGCGACATAATGACTGACAGTGTAACAGCATCATCGCACTAGACAGCTCAGCTGTGGGCAAACGCGCATGTGTCACTCAATCATACCCATCAACAAGCAGTGATTCATTGGCCCGACGAGGTACGGCTACAATTTCGGTGGCTGACGATCTATCGAAACTCTCGCGACTAAACCAGGATGAGCAAGCAACTTGCAGCACGGACGCAGCCATCACAATCGAAGATCAAACTTTCTTGATAGATTTTGTGTTTCATTGGATCGTAATCTCAGTTTTGGCTTCATTGTTTCGGGTGATGGGTGCCCCTTGCAGTTGCTTTGGCTTTGCAAGGGAGATTACCTGGCGCTTGGCTTTGAGGCCTTACCGACAGTGTGAATGATCGACACGGCTCAGTGGATTAGCGTAGCTGAGCTTTGCTTCTTGCTGATCACAGGTACCCGGCTGCTGGGTCGAGATGTATCGCAGCAAATCACTGAATGAGGAGTTAAATCACTCATGCTGATCGAAAGCATGCTAACATTCAAGGGAGCATCATCAGATACATGCCCTGCAGTGAATGGTAGGCCAAGAAGTGAGGGACAGAGCGCGCCTTATCTTATCAGGCCTCCGCTCAGACGCGCCAAACACCAAATTATGATGTCAGAAAGATTCCATATCACAAAGCCTTGCACCCTGTTTGAAGTGCCACAAGAAGCCGTGCGACCCAAGCACAGCAATGTGACTCAAGTCAGAGCCCAAGGGATAATTTAGTCCTGCCGTTGGGTTCTGAGGCCTTCGTACTTCAAGCAGTGATACGCGTCGCCGAAAGAATACGGAAATTGGTAATTCCGGCTATTGGTGGGGAGGGCGGAGCGGGGCGGAGCGAGTGCACCAAAAGTCAAAACAGCGCTTAAAGATGCAGGGTAAGTTGATCGACATTCTCGACTTTTGAAGTGCAGAGCTAAAGGGCCTTCTCATTGCATGACAAGTGTTGATCTTACGACTGTTGTCATAAAAAGGGAGAATTGGGAGAACCGGCTTTGCTGCATTCGGACTGCACTTGCATGTTTAGGATTGTTTTCATGCAACCTCATGGCAGCGGAACATTTGCCGAGTCAAGGGATGATACTCAGCGTAATGATGGCTACAGCAAAGGTCGGGTAGCATCAACCTGAGGAAAGTACCCAAGTTTTTGCCCTGAAGTGACAGAACTACAAGTGTAATATGACCGACAAATCGCAGCCCGGATTAAGTATCATACCATCCCTTCTATTCTTTAGCTCTTGCCAGTGTTTTTTGATTGATTTCTTCGCTACACAGTATTGCACAGGATTGTCAATCGTTATCGATAACGACCAAAATGGCTTGCGGGGTCAACCAGAGAGCGGAGAGTTGCCGCTTCTATTCCGCAGCCATGAAATTGACTACGGCACGGTCATCCCTAAAAATAGCGGCGATAGTTAACACTCATTGGACCTCGGCCTTCAAACAAATGGTAGAAGCTGGCTCGAGTTTGGCATGGAAACTACAGCCATCTTCTGAGAATATAATTGCTGATGATTTCTGCTTCTCTAATATGCATAGCTTGATACATCTATCCTCATTTCCATGCGCTGCTCCAAAGCACAAAGGATTCGCTGGATAAAAGCTCTAACAGCATGGGACCTGACACTTCGTTACTAAGTAGTGGCTACTTGGACTCTGAATGGGCATGTTGTACGCCATCTGTGTCATCTAAGATACGCTTATATATATTTCATGTCTTGATAGCAATAAAATCTTATCATTCAAGACTTAGCGATACCTCATCACCTTCTATGCCAATAAGAACCCACCAAGATCTGAGCAGGGAGTTGTGCCGTTCCCAGACGACATATAATAGAGCTTGCGCTATTGTGTAGTCTAGTAGGGTGCGATACCAGTCTAGAAGGATATTAGAACATGGCATTTGTAATTGAGAAGCAGAACCGCTGTAGAAGTCAAAATGTTGGACAAGTTCTCTTTCTCCTAGCCATGTGACTCAACAAAAGATACTACATCTAGCTCACAAATGAGACATTGTAACACAGTGCCTGATCAATTCAAATAGCATGATTTTTCTCCTGACCATTCTATCCCATCATATCTTGCAGCTGTTGGGATTCCTTTCGGAGAAAAGGGGATGATCCCCCGCTCGTCATCGTGTTGCATTGGCAATAGCGGCACAGATATTCGATACCCGCCATTGTAACAGTAACATCCTCCATTATATGATCTTCCACCAACGAGGTATTGGGTAAGCCTGTTGCAACTTCATGACAGACCTTGAGACAGCATCAGTTTGCCCCATTCGTCAACCTCCTTCCCGAGTTATCAGTTCCCCGGTAAATATTGTCGGATGTCCGTCGGACTTTGAGGCGGCACTTGTGACTCAAGCTGATGGCAGAAGTTCATCGTTCAGCTCACCAGGAACGAGCCCCACGAAACGAAAGCTGAGACCACCATGGGATCTTTCTACAGCGCGGAAAGGGCGTCAGGTAATAATAGAACACATATGTATACAACAGCGGGGATCTAAGGATTGTTCTGGGCTAGCGACTGGCGGAAAGTTTATATGGATTCCCGAAGTGTCGGAATCCCTAGATCCTCCAGACTCGGGTGACCCATAACGGACATAACGGGGACGGCTTCCCCTAGCAGGCTTGCCCTGACCATTCTTCACCGTCAATCTTGAACTTCCAGGTTCACAAGTTAGATAGGGAGCAAGATCATCGGTCTTCATGAGCATTGGCCGTCGGGGATAGAAGACTGGTATTTTCTAGCTTATGTTTTGCCCCGTTGAAAGGCGATACGCCTGGCGATTCTCAGCTCCCGGCCGTCGGTGGTCGCAAACACCGACCCGTAAAGGCTTAGCGCCTCAACCCTCGAGTTTGAGATTTGCTCAGCTCATCTTTAGTAATCGGACAACGCTTGAATGCCAAGGAACTTTGACGTTGATAGAACATGGTATTGAGATGAGATTAGAGCTTTCTCAAGTGTCAGTTTAATGAACTGATCTCGCATGGTAATTAGCTTTACCGTTGGGGACTATTTCCCACTAACGCAGGCAGATGTGCTGTTCAGTCAGCCTCCAGCGATAAGCTTATTTGTGGCCCCTGCCAAGATCGCAAGCCCCTAAAGTTGACAGCGAACTCTAAGCAATACAACCTCAATTTCTGCGATCAAGGATACGCAAGTTCTTTCAGTGACTTGCGTACGTAACGTTTGCGACGCGCTTAATGCATCCAACGTCATTCGATGGAAGTTTATGCTTGTTTTACAGGCTGTTTGCTCACACCATCTGCTATTGGAGGTTGCGTCGTGTTGAAACCGTAGCTGTCTCGAGTACAGCAGGGTCGCAGAGGAAGCCATACGAATATCGCGATGATTCAACATTATGAATCAATACAGCACAATTCCGCGGGAGGAATCTGGGGCCACGGAGCTATGTCGTCTAAATGGTCTAGTAAAGACCCAAGTTTCGCAATGCAAGAGTTCTCCGTTGCGCTTGAATCTGATCGAGCTCCCAGTAAACCGGGACCTGACTAGTCTACCGTATGCCACCGCAAGAGTTACGGTTTAGGTATCGAACCATACTAAAGTTTTGACATCAAACGTGCTGTAGGCACTAACTATGGTTCATCCCGCGGTGAGGAGCCGCTCAAGCCACCATCTTCAAGGCCAGTTTCATATTCCACGAAAAACATGTTCGCCGAACAAAACAAAACAGTCTCAGGCACCTTGGCACTTGCATTTGTTCTGAAGATCAGTTCATATGGTTCGATAACATGCAGTGCGTCGTTTAGCAGCGCCTTGCTAGACCACTCGACAAGATTGTTGAAACATGGTGAAAACTGTTTGAAGGTCGCCTCGCACCACTGCAAATCATGAAATTTGCAAATTCGATGAGCTCGTCTAGGTTCGTTTAAAGGTTAACAATCATAGACTGCGACTGCTCAGCGCTCAACTTAATTTGGTGAAGCTATGATCACCCGCCAGGGGTTTCCCCCACTACGTATCCGTAGGCCCAAAAAGACATCGTTTCCAGACCCCTACCGCCAAGACGTCTTGAAGCCCCCTGATTGAAATGAGCGTTTCATGGCCTCGCCTTACTTCAATCAGCGCCGTGAGAGTCGCCGCGAGGACAGATTCAGGTTGGGTCTGCCGCAGCTCTATAGAAGCTAAAGAGTTATGATTGAAGTGCGCAAAGGAGCAAGATAGTTCGACTAATTAAGTTTAAAGTTGATCGGCCATAGCTCAGAGTCAATCTACCCGTCTTTGAAGCATATTTTTTAGGTTGTTTTGTCGCTGTTGGGCGAACGAACCTAAACGAGCTGTCAACAACCTTAGTTAAATTAAACAGCATTGTTGATTGGTGCAATAACATTCTATCCACTGAAACAACCCCTAGAAGATGCGGCTGCCACCCGCCGCACTCTGTAACATCAGGTCTGATCGAGATAGCGAAGCGAAGACCACCAGCATGACCAGGTTCTTTTGCCTATGGAGAAAGAAATGTTTTTTCCCATCTTGGCGTTTTGAATTGAATGAGCTGGGGGCTTCAGGCGCTCCAACGACCAAGGATATTCTTCCACCGGACGAAAAACTGGTTCTCTCTGGTGTAAGGCCGAGTGCGGTGCGGTGCAGAATGGATTGGATATCCCTGTGCGGCGCCAAAGGTTGATGCTAGGGAGAGTCGAGATCCAGAATCTATAAAGACATCTCGTGTCCTCCGTCCTTCTCGACTTTTTTCCTTCTCATCACCATCAACAGATCTTCATCTTCTTTCATTCACTTCAGTCTTTCTTTCGAAGAGCTAGTCTCTCGTTCCTTTCGTTCCAATTCAACCGAGCCAGTCTCCAGCACTACCAATCAATTTACTATCCCTCAAACCAACCAACTCTTATTCAAGATGAAGTTCTCCGCTCTCGCCCTCGCTGCCCTCTCGCAGGTCGCCTCTGCCCACTACTTCTTCGACGTCAGCGCTCTCAACGGTGCCGAGTCCAAGTCCTTCCAGTACATCCGTGACTTCACCCGTCCCACCAAGTACAACCCCATCAAGTTCTCCTCCAACCCTTCCGCCGACATCCGCGACAACTCCTTCGCTGATGGTGAGGACATCATCTGCAACCAGGGTGCCACCGGAACCGGTGGTAACACTGAGGTCCTCGAGGTCAAGGGCGGCGACGTCATGACCTTCAAGCTCGCTGTCGGCGCCAAGATGGGTCACCCCGGACCTACTCTGGCCTACATGTCCAACGCTGGTAGCGACGTCAAGTCGTACAAGGGTGACGGTGACTGGTTCAAGATCATGGAGGAGGGTGTCTGCAACGCCGGTGGTGACTTCACCAAGGACGCCTGGTGCAACTACGACGCCACCTCTTTCGACGTCAAGATCCCCCAGGGTACCCCCAACGGCGAGTACCTCCTCCGAGTTGAGCACATCGGTGTCCACCGATCTCACGTCAACCAGCCCGAGCACTACGTCTCTTGCGCTCAGGTCAAGGTTACCGGTGGCTCCGACGGCACTGTCGACGCCGAGATGGTCAAGTTCCCCGGTGCCTACAAGGACACCGATGAGTACGCCAACTTCTCCATCTACAACGGTGCCAAGGCCTTCCCCATGCCCGGCCCCCAGGTCTGGGACGGTTCCACTTCCGCTGGTGGCTCTACTGGTGGCAACACTGGCAACACCGGTGGTAGCACCGAGACCCCTGCCGCTGGCAACACTGAGGCTCCCGCTTCTACCCCCGCTCCCGAGGCCGGTAATGGTCAGCAGAACGGTGGTGAGCAGGCCCAGCCTGAGACTGGCAACAACAACGGCCAGAACGGTGGCTTCAACCAGCAGTTCCAGGGACAGGCTGGTTCAACCGGCTCTCCTTGCTCCGCTTAAGCGAGCAACCTTTTTTCTTGGGAGACGCTGTAGTGTTTTGTTTTTACTGAAGGGGGGAAGCTGAAGGAAAGATGGAAGAGTTGAAGAGGTGGCTGGTCAACCCATGTATAAAAGAGTCCTGTTGATCGTTTCAAAACACCAAGATGAAGAGGGGATAGTCTGGTACTGTGCTCATAGTTTTTAGCTTTGTCTGTTTTATACGAAGCAGTCTTAGGACAAATCACCGTCTCACTATTTCATAAGTGACTTTCCTATACTAATCATTTACCAGTAGTACCTCAGTCTCTCAGTCTCTCCAGCTCTTAACTTCCTTGTCAATCACCGTCTCTTCATGACTGCCCGTCATACTCTTGAGTTGCTCACTTATGTTCTCATGGATAATAAATTGGATGAGCTCCACTGTCAAGGACATGCTTACCTGTGTTTCGTTTCTTGACTCGAATCCTGCCAGCAATGTGCCGATTCGGTAGTTGGCTGATGCCAGAACTGTCCTTACCCACCGTCATAATAGGGCTGTCAACTTGGCACAAAGCGTGTTGGAGAATGAAGAAACAACAAAAGCAAGTCATTTAACATTGGGAGTGAATATATTCATGTTGACATTTTGTAGTTTAGGTCCCAAGAAGCCTTTGCCGCATTTCTGTACTAGCCAAGCGTATCGCAATCTGCCGAAGTCATAAAGTTTGCAATGTGAATGGGCCACCAATCAGCCTTTTGTGATACAGGATGCTGAACATGCATTATCACACCGAGAAATCCTGACCCGATTGAACGATAATATTTAGTTATTTATGTAAGTGAATTATTGATCTAGCCTTCATCGAGAAGTGCTCGAGCGGCATGACGTCAAGCATAAGCAGGGTGAGACATTCAAAATATCTTTGTGTCAAACGCTCAAGACCGTTAAACGTCCTGCACCCTCAGATTCATCACAATGGCTCAACCAAACAAATTTGATCGCGAAGAGATCTTGACAAACACTTCACTTCCGGAAGTTTACACCAAGCTGGTTAAATTGGCCGAAGAGTTCTCTGTACTTGGTGAAATCGATACCGCCAAAGACTTAGTTTCACTGCTCCTCCAGGACACTACCTCGGAATGGCAACGCAAGCAAGTCCATCATTTTGAGCCATTCTTTGCAGCTGCCGACGTATGGCCTAATGAAATTCCGGAGAAGGAAAGAAGTGAAGCAGTATCTGACAAGACTGCATCCAAGCATGCCCTTGACATCGACGATGTTGAGGAACAAGATGACAAAGGCAACCTCCAGGAGCAGATAAAGAAGGCCCACCAATTCGATGCGGACGGATCAGGCTTGGCTGATGCCCTGTCAAGTGCCTTCAGGTTGGCCTGGAAGCAGACCCCCGACCTGGAAGAAGTCCAGAACAATTCGAAAGTTCAAGAAGTCCTCGAACTCCTCGCTCAGAACTTGTACAAGCGAGGGATCATCTCGCGTCTTGCTGGACGCCATGATCTAAGTGGACTGCTAGCTACTGGTGTATTGGCCCGAAAAGTCCCCGTTGATAAGAAGAAGATCGAGGCCCTCGGCAAAGAGGTCGTTGCGACATTTGCAGAGCGTTTTAGCAAAGGTCGAAAACCACTGAAAATAGAGTCAAAACCCATGAAAGACGTACTCTTGGAGCTTGAACGGAACACGAAGCCCAAGTCCCTCGAATACTGGGAAGAGATGGACCAAGATCCCCCGGCAACACTCTTTAACCTGCCACCAGCTACAGATGAGCAGATATCATCATTGGAGAAGAGGCTCAAAGTAACACTGCCAGATGACTACAAGGAATTTCTGAAAATCACCAATGGATTCGGAGGTACATGGAACGGCTTTCACCTCGACCCTCCTCTCCATAGCGTCGACGACGTTGAATGGTCTGATCCTCTATTTGAAATCCCTTTCGTTCAATTTCATGAAAGTATCAGTGGAGTACTTAAGCTGGATCTACCAAAGAGGGACGACTGGCCAAACTCCGGCCCAAATATTGAAATTGGTCGTGAAGATGTCCTCGGTATTCTGCTCCTCACACCCGAGTGCACCAAGGCAGTCGTCGAAGCTTATGACACAGCATTCAAAGGGTCGGATACCTCGGAAGATGACAAGAAGCAGGAGATGAAGGCCATTGAAGCGCACTATGGAAGCTACGATAACATGAAGAAGTTGGACTGGGCTACTATCGAATTTCATGATTCGGAGGACATTCCATGCGGGACGTTTCGGCAGTTTCTTGAGAACAGATTGCGCAGAACAAAGACGGTGGGGTACCCGGACGAAAACTCAAAGGAGGCTGGAAGTCTGGCTTATAGCTGCTTGGCTGATAATTCTTAAGCGAACAAGGAAGATATCAACATCCATGCCAGGCAACAGGGTTACAAAGATTTGTCACGTACACGTGTCAGTTACGGAGGCTCATAAGTAACAAAGTATCAATTCAATTCGCAAAATGGTGTATTTGATCCTACGCTGCAAACAAAGTTCCGTCCGTCCCATGTTGATATATGCAATTTGGCTCCGAAAGATACCGCCGTCCGTTGTCCCAATTTTATCCGTGCCAGCGACTCCCTGAATCCATTTTTATCCCTAAGCAAAATCCGTGCCACCCATGTTTTCATCTCTTCATGATCCCGTTGCTTCCATAAACCGTAAATATCCAAATTTTGTAAGTAGGACTAGCTACTGCTTCTCAATTAGATGTAGCCAGCTACATAACAGCACATCCACCGGAGGGTGAAGGGGAACGGCTCCTCTTCCCTCGCTGAGAATGACTCTTTGACTGTTTGGGCCTCGACGATCGCTGATCAGTCTTGCCCGTGCGTGTAGAGTATTGATCATAGGGCTTGCTAGCGGTTGAGCGTTGGCCGTATGCCTTGCTTGTATGGCTATGCGTTGTTGAGCGCTTATCATATGTCTTGGTCGGGCGTTGAAGCCTGAGCCACCAGCAGACTTCTTCCTCGATACCAGACAAGATGGCGGTGAGTCTTTGCTGCCACGGTGCGAACGTGAAAGATTTGCCAAGGCTGGGCTTCGATGTCTTGGCTTTCGACAGGGGATACAGTAACTGACCCCGGATTTCGTCTCGGTAGAGCGGCAAGTTCTTTGCTGTGATAAGGTCAGATGGATTCGCTGATTGCAGGGGTTGGGTTGGGTCGGGATTGACTCACGGGCTGGGTCTGTGTACTTGGTCTGGCCCTTGGCCGAATTGAACAGGGCTGTCAACGTGTTTGCACCTCTGACAGCAGTATCGCACATTCTCTTCTTATCGTTCTTCAACTTGGTACGATCTTTGTGCTGCTTGGGCAGCTTGATGTCTTCGATTGCATCGACAACATCAGCAAGGTAGTTGATGATGGATATCAACACCGCCCTCCCCAGCAAATCGCTATATCCACTGACGCCATCTGAGCGTCGAGGAATGCGATGAGCATGCTGAGGAAAATGAATATGATCGCTTGTTCGGTCTTTCATTATGGCTATTAGAAAAAGAGGTAAGTAGAGATGAATGAATAGATAGATCAATAGTAAGATAGATTAATTAAGCATTATACTAGTAAGAATAAGGATAGAATGAGATGATCCAAATGAGAACCGTTTGGTGAACAGGCAGCCGCCCGCTTTTATAGCCAGATCGACGTTGTTTACGGAGGACCATCCCGGGGCCTTGTCAAGTCTCTCGATGTGGTGGTTTATACATGGAGAAGGCCAGAGCAAGGATGCCAATTAGCGAGAGGTCATTTCTCAACATTGTACGGTTACTAACGTAGTGGAGGTCTGTAACACGTTCAACGGGGCTCACGCACCAAAATAGTGGTCTGCAGCCTCATGTAGCCAACAACGATGAACTGTTACGCGGCCAACATGCCATGAAGAACGGGTCCATGGACCAAACCAGACTTTTGCATGCCTTAGCATGTGGACTTTGGGTAAGATGGCATGCGAGTTCGAGCTGATTTGGCCATGCATGCAACGTAAAGCGGCTGTATAGTTTGCCAGGGGCCGTTAGCACGATTATGCTTGTCTATGATCAAGACGATCCCATTGCTTTTGCCCAAGTCAAAAAAGCTTGACATCGGAATCCACTGTAACGCCTAATAGTGGAGATAACCCACTGGAGGGCCTCGATTTTGGGTCTCCATGTGCCGGGTTTAACGTTAGGTTCAGTGTCGTGCTGCGCTGGCAGAGCGTTCCGGTCGAATCACATCATGAATACTTGCACAAATCGCCACAATTTGCATGACAATCGTTGTGCAGAAAAATTCTCATCAAAAATTCGCTGTTACACAAGTCACTAGCCACATGTTTTATATGGATCAGGTGACCTATTCATTGCTGTGAGTGAGTCAAGCTGCCAAGAATAGGACAGCAAGTCATCCCAAGTCGAAAATTTTGAGGGATCCGAGCTCTACCAGCACATGCCAATTCGAATTTTGCTGGCTCTGACTCAGAATTTGCGTTTCAGAAAAAAGTTGTGCTGTCAATTTGTGCGCTGTGTGACTGTTACACTCGCTAAACCACTGCGGGCGCACATATACCTGTCCCCTCGGCCCTGACGGCAAGGAAACGAAACAATCTGTTCTGTTCTGTTCAAAATGGATTTGTGTGCATTTCTCTGCATAGCATATGCATAGCACATCATCCATGTTATACATGAATTGTGCAGATCCCTCTCATGTCATGTCCCCTGCATGAAACGGCATACATAACTGATCGCCAACATCGTTTTTGCCTAAATACATAAACTTCAGCTTGCACGCTTCAGTACAGAGATCAACATTGGCAACAACTGAAAATCTCGGAGAGATTGCCGATGTCACTTCGCGGGGAAATAAAGCTACGCACTGCCCCCCTCCGTTCTATTGCCAGATTGATCTGCCATTAACAGAACTTAAGCTTAATCTCTTGATGCTTATTGTAAAGTTCAGACTACTAAGTCCGTAGATTATGGCAGCTTACGAGAGCTCATCATCGATTACAGTAGCGTAGATAATCTCTAATGAAGCTCTCCCAAGGCTTCACTAATGTTATTTCCTTATATCCGCCGTTCTCCCACGATGGCCCCAGCCCACCTGAGTCGTCCAAAAGATCAGCCAAGACCGGACGAACAGTGAAGCTCGGTCCATTTACCCCGAAGTGAACCTGGATGCCGATTGATGGACTAACTAATACAGCATCATCGGCTGTCGATCTCAGCCGTAGCCACAGTCCCAAGGCTAATTCAAATAGCCTGAATCAATTCACCAGTAATTACTCCGCATGTCATCGTGAGACATGCTGCGATATAAGACGATGGCCTCTCTTCAATCAGACGGAAACGTCACAGACCATCACAGTCGCAGTCATAGCTCATCATGTGGCTCTCGACTTTACTCTTCGCTTTGTTCACCTGCGTTATCGCAGAGGATGGTATTGATGGTTGGCTGAGATATGCTCGCTTGCCATCGAGCGTCTCCATTAATGCCAAGTCGTTTCCCCAAAAGATCCATGCTATTGGTGGTTCCGCAGAGAGTCCCCTCGGCAGTGCTGCCTTGGAACTCCAGAAGGGCTTCAGCGGTATTCTCAACATCAACCTGAAGACTGAGAGCAACTCAAAGTCGTGCGACTTCTCACAGTCAATTGTCGTTACCACCGAGGAGAACCTCAAGAAGGCATGCAAGGGCAAATTGTCTCATCCCAAGCTTGAGGCCGATGGCTACTGGCTCAGCACTTCTGGCAACTCTGTCAAAATTATTGGCCAGAATGAGCGTGGTGCTCTGTATGGCGCCTTTGAGTACCTCTCAATGCTCGGCCAGGGCAACTTTAAGAAAGTCGAGCGTGCATCGAACCCGAGTGCACCCATTCGATGGGCCAACCAGTGGGACAACCTCAACGCAAGCTCGACCCATGGCTCTATCGAGAGAGGCTACGGTGGCCCTTCTATCTTTTTCGACGGTGTCAAGAACGTGCGAAAGGACCTCTCGCGGGTTCCTCTCTTTGGACGTCTTCTCGCCTCCATCGGTATCAACGCCGTGGTCATCAACAACGTCAACGCTGATATCAGACTATTCAACTCTGAGAACCGCAAGGGCCTTATCGAGATTGCCGACCTGCTTCGTCCCTGGGGTGTGCAGGTCGGTCTCTCTCTCAACTTTGCGTCACCCCAATCGCTCGGAGGTCTAGATACCTTTGATCCTCTTGACGAGAAGGTGATTAAGTGGTGGCACGACCTGACCGATGGTCTTTACGATGGAATTCCTGATATGGCTGGCTATTTGGTCAAGGCAAACTCAGAGGGCCAGCCCGGACCTATCACGTATAACCGCACTTTAGCTGATGGCGCCAACATGTTTGCCAAAGCCCTTGAGCCCTACGGCGGTGTCGTTATGTTCAGAGCTTTTGTTTATGACAAGCTTGACTGGACTGACTGGAAGGCTGACCGTGCCAACGCCGCTGTCGAGTTCTTCAAGGAGCTGGACGGAAAGTTTGACGATAACGTGGTCGTTCAGATCAAATACGGCCCGATCGACTTCCAAATCAGGGAGCCCGTTAGCCCTTTGTTTTCACATCTTAGAAAGACCAACTGTGCTATTGAACTGCAGATCAGTCAAGAGTACTTAGGGCAGCAATGTCATCTTGTCTATCTGCCTCCACTATGGAAGACGATCCTGGACTTCGACATGCGAATCGACGGCAAGAAGTCACAGGTTCGTGATATCGTGTCAGGAAAGGTCTTCAAGCGACGTCTCGGAGGATATGCTGGTGTCACAAATGTTGGTTTGGACAAGACGTGGCTTGGAAGTCATCTTTCCATGTCAAACCTGTACGCATTTGGACGTCTCGCTTGGGACCCTACTGCGGATTCCAAGGAAATTCTCGAGGACTGGACGCGTCTGACCTTCGGGCTCGACAATAAGGTCCGAAAGGCCATTACTGATATGTCTATGGCTTCTTGGCCGGCCTATGAGAACTATTCCGGCAACCTAGGCATTCAGACCTTGACCGATATTCTCTACGCCCATTACGGACCCAACCCCGCTTCGCAGGACAATAACGGTTGGGGACAGTGGACCAGGGCAACCAGGGATCACATTGGCATGGACCGTACAGTCAAGAACGGAACTGGAAACGCTGGCCAGTATCCCTCTGAAGTTGCGAAGAGGTTTGAGAACCCCGAAACGACACCCGATGACCTCATGCTCTGGTTCCACCACGTTCCATACACTTTCAAGCTCCACTCTGGAAAGACTGTGATACAGCATTTCTACGATGCTCATTACAAGGGTGCCGCTACAGCTCAAACCTTCCACAAGACTTGGGCATCGCTGAAGGGCAAGATCGATAATGACAGACTTGAACATGATCTCTTCAGACTCAAATACCAGGCTGGTCACTCGATCGTCTGGAGAGATGCCATCAACGAGTTCTACCGCAACTTATCTGGTATTCCTGACAAGCAGAACCGTGTTCGCAATCATCCTTACAGAATCGAGGCTGAGAAGATGGAACTCGATGGTTATATGCCCGTCAATGTTACCCCAACCGAGACTGCTTCCAAGTATGTTGCTATTTACACAAACAGCACTGGAACAGCTAGCACCACTCTCAAGTCCCCCAAGGGCACGTATAACCTTGCCGTGAACTACTATGATATCGTTGGTGGGAAGTCTACTTGGTCTGTATACCTCAACAAGCGATTGATCGGCAAGTGGGTGGGAGACAATGAAGAGCGACTGGGACACTGGCCCAGTGAGTTCCTCGACGGTCACTCTGCCACTCGTATCACCTTTGAAGGTGTCAAGATCCAACCAGGTGACAAGCTTGTGATTATTGGAAAGGCAGATGGCAAGGAAACAGCTGCGTTGGATTATGTTTCAGTTTTGCCCCAGGGCATTGTTGACTAGTCAGTCATTCTTTCTTGTACTTTTTATCACTTTTATGACTTAGCTTCAGAAAAGAAGAAGAAAGACGTATTGCTCCAATGTTCAAATGTCAATTTATATGTGCTCGTAACTAGCTACAATCCAGATAAAACACTCTAAGTCTTTGCCAAGTAATCTGATCCAACTTTTGACTTTTGACTTTGTTAAGATCAGTCATTCTTGTATAATTTACAGGAATGAGGGGTTGGCGTTGTCGAGGAGCTGCTCGAAATAAGCCTGGAACCAGGTTCCGGCCTCAGGAGCGGGCCTGAAGATGAAATGTTAGCACGGAATGTTGTGATAATACCGGACGGAGCAACTTACTTGAGAGCATCATCGAGACCACAGTGGTAGTCGTAGCGAGCAGCAGAGGTATCAGAGGTACCATCAGACTCACCGCCAGGCTTAACCCAGACGAAAGCATCAGCGAGAGCATCACCAGTGTTGGCGGAAGGTCGAAGTCCGAAACCAGTGCCCTTGGCGTTGCACCAATCTCCCTGAGCCTTCTGGCCCGTAGGCTGCTTGCCAGATCGGCCCTGGTCGACGATGAACTTGACGTTGGACCAACCCTCCTGAGCGAGAAGAGGAGCGAAGGCATTGATGTATCGCTGCTCGTCGTAGTTGGGGTTGCTCTCGGTGTAGTCGGGCTTGGTGGAGAGCTTCCAGCCGTTGTAGTTGGAGACGTTGGTGGCGAGACCGCGAACACGAGATGGCTTGCCAGCGTCCTTGTAGATCTGAGCGTAGAGCTTAGCAGCAGGGCCAATGTTGGCGGGCCAGCCGAGCCAGCCACCGTGACCGGCATCGAGGTACATGGAGACGTTGGGGAGGTTGAGTTCCTTGATGGCGTAGACGGTGAGCTCCTTGTAAGCACTCTCGGCCTTGGCGCACTTGTCGACGTTCAGGTTGGTGACCAGGTTAGCAAGGGAGTCAGGCTCTACAATGGGATTAGTTAATGCAGTGCCCAGAGCGATGGTTTACTCACCAATAACAAGGATCACCTTGGTGTCAGAGTAGTCCTGGAGGATGCCCTTGATCTTGGCGATGTAGGCCTTGTACTTGTTGGCACCGTCCTTGTCGAGGGAGTACTCTCCGTTGGAGGCAGCAGCAGCACAGTCGCGGTTGGGAAGATCGTAGACGACGAACTGACCGGCATAGTTGCCACCAGCCTTGTTAGCCTTGCGGATATCAGCAAGGGTATCCTCCATGAGAGAAATGTGGTCGTAGGTGTCCCTGAACCTTGTCAATACACGAATCAATATTGGATTGAAGCTTGACTTACATCCACTGGAAGGAAGGAACATCAGCGACCTTGGCAGCAGCAGTAGCCTTGGCACCGCTCAGCTTGGGAACAGCCAAGTTCATAACCTCAGAGCGGTAGTAGCTGTTGGCCCAGAGGTCAACACCAGAGTAAGGGTTGCCACTGGCCGCAGGAGGGGCAGAAGTGACAGAGCCTCCAGCAGTAGTAGAGCTTCCACCAGTGGCGGTAGTCTTGGTGGCTGTGGTGGAGCTGGGTCCAGCAGCGGTCGAAGAAGGCTCAGCAGTACCGGGCTGGCACTGAGAGTAGTAGTCGTTGAGCTTGACACACTTGTTTCCGCTGGTGCAGCAAGGAGTGCCGCTCCAGTTCAGGCCACCACACTGAGCCCTGTTTCATTGTGAGTAGATGTTGTTGTAGTTGAGATTCGTAGACATACCAAACTGCGTTGCTGCAAGACTGGCGCTCTTCAACAGGAGCAGCAAGAGCTGTAGCCGCAAAGGCGGCGAGGATAAGCTTGTAGGCCATAGCTGTCGAAGTTGAAGATTGACTGATGATGCTTGACTGTTGACTGTGGATGGGTAGAGCGGAAACTTCAATTGAGGTCCGTGACAGATATTATATACATTTCGAAGGCATCGTCAAAGTTTAAACGTCCCGGAACGACGGGATCTCAAACGTTAGTGCAAGGCCACCGTCTCCATCGGCAAAGAGATCCGGACAGGAACCCACCGTCAGATAATTCCCGGATGAGATCCAAAAACAGCCGGAGAGCCTTTCACGATGTGGAAACTTTCGGAGCGTCTGTATCGAGGCCGACCTAACCCCTCACCCATCACGTTTATTCAGCCATTATTGAAGCGCCATCGCCACAAACGACTATCCCGGAACAGACAGCCGATGCGGTCATGTGTCCAAAAGACCCTAAACTGGATATTAAAATGATGTAACACTGAAACTGCTCATCTCGGAGGGGTTCCTCCTTGCAGTTCCTATTTGGGAAGTCCGGAGGTTTGACCCTTATATATCGAGCCATGATCCACGGAAACGCCGTCCTGTGATCCGAAAAAGTTTACTGGATGGAGATGTTGCTCAAAAATGCTCAGGGCATTACATGATTGATCATTGGGATCCGGCTAGGTTAGGAAATGGCTGGGTTATTGAACCATAGTTCTCGGGGATGTCGGCTTAGGACTAACGCACAGAAGACAAGGATGTCCTGAAAGAATCATAAACTCAAATCATGACCAATCGTAAGCTCAGCCTTGTGGATGTTGAGTTTAGCCGCATCGTACTGGTAATTTACCCCTCGTTTCAACTATACTACTCTACACAATTCCTGGGGCAACTTTGCCGTAACCCCTTCAAGCTAGTCTTTTTTTGAACTCCTCCTCATTGTAAGGTCCTACAATGGTTCTTAGAGAAACGTGGCACTTTTATGTAAGAAGCTTTTGCTTTCAAAGGCCATCGACTCTCGACTATCTACCCCTTATACAAATATCTGTAGCTTGCTTCGACATCGCCGCAACAACAAAGTCTTCTCAGTACCCTCCAAGTTGATGTTCTATTACTTGCCAAAAACCTCCTGTCTTCAGCTTCCTTCGGCGTTCTTTCACGTAACGACAGAGCTGAAAATCGCTCGTCATGAATAACCAACACCACTCTTCAGAGCTCCGCCTTGAGGACTCGCACGACAGTGTTGTGCTGCCGGCGCTGATCAATTTTATTCGTCTCGTTCCGAGAAGCACAGGGTCTCAATATCACTCGTACTTGAGCAATTCTATTAAACCTACCCGAGAAGCTCGAAAGGAAGAAAGAGCCTAGCAGGCCTAGCAGTAGGCAGTTTAGACTTTTTATGGTGGCTTATCCCCCAAAAGACCAAGTCTGCTCTGGGTAATAGTTATAACTTGGTTTTAGCTTGAGCAGCAGGCCTTTAAACTCCTCAGAAGTCAAGGGCGTCTTATGAGAACTCACTGAGCTGCAAGATGGCGCATATCTTATCAGAACATACGTGAGACCGTACCACGGAGAATGCCGTTCGCACTAACCCTGACTGCAGCCATCATACTCGAGCATACCGGTCCTTCAGCAGTTGCCTGCACCTACAAAGATAGCTGAGCTTTACTGATACGTCCAAGCATCTCAGCCGCAAAGTAGTCAGAGATTCGGCACATCAACAGTCCGAGCGACAGGACGCCTCATGAGATGGACCAACTATTCACGTTGGGTGACATCGTGGCTGACGGTGGCAGCCTATGAGATAGTGCCGTGGCGTTGAGATTACATTGATCAGTAACCACTCTCCTCAAGCTTATATGAATGGCTTGCATTGACTTCCAAAGGCTAGGTTAGTCTATAGTGTAAATGCCTTTATATCAACGTCCCCGCATTTAACAACATTAATCTCAAAACTACCATCCTAAGCTTTCTTGAACCACATATGTAAACTTATTGTCATTAAGATTTATATAAAATGGCAACTCAGGCAGGTATTATTATCGAAGGAGCCAACCAGCCTCACAAAGTCGTTGACAACATCCCTCGTCCGTCTCCAGAAGGCAGACAGGTGCTTGTGAAATGCCTCGCCGTGGGCCTCAATCCCATGTATGACACCTGATGCACAGCCTATGTATGGATTGATACTAATGGCGACGATGAAGTGAAGCTCTCCAGCATCATACTGGAATGATGGTAAACGAGTGGCCCGCGATTCTAGGTAGTGATGGCGCTGGTGTTGTCATCGAAGTTGGACCCGACGTTGCCAGGCTTAAGGTCGGTGACTACGTCTATAGCTGTGCCCCAGTCGGCCAGAATCGATTCACGCCATTTCAAGATGCTTACTTGGCTCGGGAAGATTTGCTGTTCAAACGGGGCAGCAGCATCTCCCTTGAGGATAGCTGCACCATTGGAGCATGTCTTCTGGTAACTATGAGGCCTCGCAGACCAATAATCGAGAACGTGAAGCTGACAGCTCAACAGACTTCAAGCCTATGTCTCCTTGGCGGAGCTGGGCTCGAGCTTCCCGAGGATGGCAACAAAGCCCAGGAAAAAGATGAATGGATCGTCGTCTTGGGTGGCAGTGGAAACGTTGGACAATTTGCGATACAGGTAGCACTCAAAGTCTTACAAAAACTTCTATTTCTAACACTCTCAGCTGGGCAAAGTCTGCGGATACAAGGTTCTGGCATCTTGCTCTCCGTCTAAACAATCTGTGAGTCACCCAAACTAAGTACGCATACCGTAGTGCTCAATTTGCCCAGATTGCTATCCAGAACGGGGCCTCAGCGACCTTTGACAGTCGCGAAATGATTGATGCGCAAGTCACGGAAATCAAGAAGATGACCGACGGAAACTTTGGCAAAATGATGGACGCGAGCACTTACGGTTACGAAGTCATGGTGAAAGCTCTCGAAAGCGCTTCCGATGCGAAAGAGAAATACCTTACGTCAGTTGACTCTTGGTAAGTACTAAGCCTGTTGTCAAGACTTAAAACACCACTCATGTGTCGCTAGGTCCCCATTCTCAACACCATCTCCTATTAACGAGTACAGAGCAGATCTTGGCCATCTCTGCCGCCCTAACGAGCGAGATGGGACCCGAATAACTTCCGATATCGCCAACTGGATTCCGTTGCTTGAGAAACATATTGCCGCTGGGACTCTAAAGCCGCTTGAGTATTATGTTGTTGACGGGGTCGGATGGGGTAAAGTCATTCAGGGCATTCAAGACATGGAAGGTGGAAAAATTGGGAAGAAAATTGTTGTTAGGACCCAGCAGGAATGAAGAGGGATCTTGTCACTTTTTCCATTTTGTATTTTCGCAATTGTTGATCTGCGCTGTTTGGCACAAATATGGAATGGTTTGCCGCATGAGAAGCCAATCACGAGATGCTGGGCGGCGCGTAAAATGCGACACAGCCCAGCCCAGCCCAGTGCGGCTGAGTCTGCTGAGACATCAGGCACTTCACAAGGCTTTTCCTCGTGTTCTACCTCAACGATTTTGCTGTTTTCATCAAAAGTATCCATCTTCTCTATGTGATATGTATCAGTTCAAGCGTAGCATTCGCGGCGTCGGCATATCGAAACCACCATGGAGGCAATCGGCGCAGGTGCCAGCACACTGGCCTTTGTCCTCTTAGCCCTCAAGTCAGCCAAAATCATCAATGAGTCACTCTCGTCAATCAAAGATGCCCCTAGGATAGTCTCCGAGTTGTCCAAAGACCTAGAGTCGCTACAGTCCGTTCTCGGGCGAATCTCAGGCAGCTCGCTGCAACACGCGGCAACAAGCACAATTGAGTCATTAAATGACATTCTCCAAGCATGCACAACAGAGCTGTCGAGTATAGAATGTCGACTCGCAAAATTCTCTACGATCTCTGGCAGTAGTCGTTCGAATCGCGTGTACAAGGGCGTTCTCGCATACATAAAGAAAGAAGACCTAGAGAATGCGCGAAGCAGGATTCGAGACAAGTCAACGCAGATAAACCTTTACCTCAGCCTTCTTCAAGCGCAGTCGCTTTTGCAAGTGTCATCAAGGATAGATACTCATGCCACAGCGACGGCAAGTATTCTGGAGCAGATACTTGGAGAGGTGTCAAAACTTCACACAAGACTTGATCAAGATGCCGCAGTCAGTGAGGTCGAGCAGCTTCCAGCAAACACAGGCGACGATGCTATAGACAGCGCAATGGCCGGTCGACTTGGTGCCATGGCACTTTTTTCCGAGCTCGAGTCTAGCATTTCCCGTCTGTCGACTCTCATAGACCATGATGACCTAACTTTGGACGCCGATGATGCTGAGCAGATCATTGATGACCTGCGGAGATTTGTTGTCATTGCCAAGGAGAGGTCGATCGAAAAGTCTAGACTCAGTCGCAACTCCACTAGCTACAGTTCAATCACAGAAGATGATACGAAGGCTTTAGGTAGAGATCTGAAGCTGATAGAAGGACTGATTCTTTCCGCCCCCATCATTGCAATCAACCAGTCTGGTAACTTTGTCATTCATTCTTTGCTGTAGTGCATAACTGATCATTCATATCAGTCTCTGGTTCTCGAAAACTCCGTTCTCAACTACCGCAAGGCACGGTCATCAAGCAAAAGCGGATGAGAGAAGAAATCGACGTTGACCATGGCTATCTCACTATCTCAACTAACAAGAGAAGAAGGATATGCAGCGCGGTTTCCAACCCATCTGGAAATGTCAACACATCGCGTGATCTTGTCGCTAACATCGTGTTCCGCCCATCGAATTCTCCCTGGATGTTCTCAGTCTCGCTTTCCCAGGGTCAACTTTTCGATCGAAGCATCCAAAGTATCCCGCGAATATCGGTCTGTCGCATAGTCCCGAATGACTCGCCTGTCTTCTCTTTGGTGAAGCAGGGCTCCCTCAAGGAGTTCATAACCATGCTGCAGGAGGGCAAAGCAAGCTTGCGTGACCACGATGAGCAGGGCATGCCACTTCTACATGTAAGAGACTAGTCTATGAAACCGCAAAAACCCGCCCTAACCTTTGTAAAGTATGCAGCTACGGCGAGCGTGGAGATGTGCAAATTCCTGATTGAGTCTGGAGCAGACGTGGATGAGATGGGCGAGCATACGGGTACTGCCCTCTCACGTATAGCAGGGCTGGACCGACATGATACGACACTAGTACTACTGGAGAACATGGCTGATCCCACGTTGTCATACCCAGGATGGGATAACCCGTTGTCCACCGCTTGTAACCTAGATCTCGTAAGTATCCGAAAGATAGTAAGCCTTCGTATACTAATGCAGTCTAGCCATCCGCAGAGCTCTTCCTCAAGCACGGAGGACACTTCACGATGCATGATCTAGAGAGCTTCGACCTAAATGGAAGAACGAGACTTAATCAGGTTTGTATGGCAGAAAGCAGAGCGACAAGCAAGAAAAAAGCAGTCGCTATGCTAGCGGCGGCCGGCGCCAACCTCAACGCTCGCGTAGCAAAGTCATGGTCTCCAGACGATCATCAGACTCTGGGGTTCACGTGCTTGCATAGTCTTGTTTATAAAGCTCATCGCAGCAGGGATCGAGACGAGCTGGAAGCTGTAGTTTTCCTGATCCAACAAGGAGCAGATATCCTTGCGATTGACCACCATCAGCATAGCATTTCAATGCGTGCATATCTACCTAATGACGGCGATAATCAGTATTCGTCCAAGGGGTCATACAGAGGTGATCTTTGGGATGCTGCTCTCACGATATGCGGCTATGATATAAGCGCACAGCGAGCGGCATATCCCAGAGTGCCCAGGTATAACAGGAACTACAGAAGGAGAGACTTCGAGAGATTATGGGAGGGGCATGAAACCCTCTGTCCGTATTGGACAGATGAGCGATACCCGGAAACAGGCGGTGATGACGACTACTGGAAACAACCTGTGAAGCGCTGCGAGCATGTCGCATGTTCAGATTGTGAAGAGCTCCCGCCAAAAACTGACGATATTGACGTGGAGCCAATAATCGACGCTCATATCCCAGGCTACGCCCAAGCTATATATCGCGAATGGTACTTCGCTCGCAGTCCGGAGTCTAACCCTAGCCATATGCCTTATATAGACCATATTTCGGACGATTATTACAGTGATAATGACGGAGGAGAGGAGAGCCCGTCGCCTGATATTTTTGCGGGAGAAGGCAGGGAATCAAGTGTAGACGTGGGAACTGATGGCGGTGTTCGGTTTTACGATGAGATGAATACCCCTTCACCACCGAGCAGTGAAGATGGGGAAGCGGCCTATGAGAGATTGGTTGGGCCATATCAGGATGGAGAGAGGGAGATTGATGACTATCCTCGTTTCGTCGATAGATGGCTAGAGCATTATATTCGAGCGGCTGAAGAGGAATATGAAGGAGATGATGAGGAGATGGCGGATTGAACAAAGAGCTTACAGTTTGATTGAACCCTTGGTACTCAGCAGTGACGAAAGAACACAAACAAAGTAGGTAGATGATGTGAGATAGTCGCTGAACTCCATGCCCCGGGTTTCAATGACTGATCCCAAAACTTGAAGTCGAATTTCGTCAAGAATTAATGACATACGCATCGAATTGTAACAAAACATATCATGAAAGCGGCATATGCGGCACCGCTTTTGCCGATAATTGCTGACAGCTCTCAGCAAGCTGATAGTGAAGTGGCTGCTTACTGGGCCCAACTTTGATTACCATACCATGAAATCCGAATACCCGAGCCGCGCGTGAGACAGCCGTGTTATGCAGTGCCGCACAGCCAAGCATTAAACTTCTGGTGTATAGCCTATCCATCATCTACCGAAACGCGCGGGTACAAGTCGGGATTTGTAAGAAGACACAACAGCACGTGTGCCTTGCGGGCGTATGTAGTTATTAATCTCGCAAGATGAGCTGGAGTCTCCATGAAATTGATTGAGTATAAATAGGTTGGATACTGGATTAAGTTTGACAAATATCCATTCACTCAACACACAGACTACTCTCCTCCCCTGAAATAAATCTCTTTATCTCATAAAATCACATTTCTAAAAATCACAAAAGCAAGTAACATGGCTGCCATCAAGAACATCGCTCTCATCACAACCAGCACTCGTAAAGCTCGAGTTGGTCCTCACATCACCAGCGTCATCAACGACATCCTCATTGGCGATGCAGATGCCAGCAAGAATACCAAGATCTCCATCGTTGACGTCGCAGACTTCAACCTCCCCGTCTTCGATGAAGAAATCATGCCCGCCATGGTCCCCGATAAGGGATCCTTCAAGAATGCTCACTCCATCGCCTGGAGTAATGAGATCAAAAAGTACGATGGCTACATCTTTGTCATTCCCGAGTACAACTTTGGCCTCGCTGGCGGTACCAAGAACGCCGTTGATTACTTGTACAATGAGTGGATTGGCAAGGGTGTTCTGATTATCAGCTATGGTATCTTTGGAGGTACTTCTGCAAGTGAATCACTTGATAAGACCTTGAAAGGCATGAAGCTTAATGTGGTTGATACTCGACCTGCTCTCGGATTTCATGGTGGCGTCGGTGATGATCTCTGGCTTGCTGGTGCTGGAAAGCTAGGCGATGACACCAAGAAGGATATCATTGCTGAGACGCCTACTATCCTCAAGGCTTTCGGTGAATTGAAGGATCTGATGGACAAGCAGGTGCCCAAGGATAGCCAAAAGTAATGCATAGATCATCGGCGCTGGCTATTGTTTCCTATTCATAGAGTCAGTACATAGATTCGAGGATATTCTATTCTTGTAACTTGAAGCTTTTGCTAGGTGTTATTGCATACTGACGTAGCTGACAGATGATTGAATCGCCCCTTTCGCCTTATATCTTGTAAGGTAAAAGGACGTGTTGGAATTCGTTTGTATGATAGATATCCTGGCCGAGTGTTAAGAAGGCCGCAAGAACTATTGCGCCTGTTTCTCTCAGGAACACGCCAAGACAGATCCCCCAGTCATCAGAGACTAGGCTCGTGCCACCGGTCCTCATAATTCTGTGAATTGATGTGATCACGGTCCGCTGAAGATTGATGGCTTATCGAAAGGCTGAAACTTTTCAGGGACACGGGTATGTGGCGTCAAGTGTAGAGGCCCAGACAGTTCTCTCTGTAGATAAGCTCGGGGTCTAGAAACCTGCCGAGGGGTCATCAACGGAGAGATACCATTTACTGCATGAGAGTCCCAGATACGCGTCGCTTATGTGAATCCGGGGGCATGATCAGCCTTGATTGTGGATGCATGAGATTGACGTGTTCATCACTGCATCTCATGACGGGAACAGCGGTAGATGGCGTTCTGGACCAGAATGTGGCTTGAAGAGTCTCGGATTTAACGTAGCAGATCACCCCAGCTTCTTCTGCCCCGTATCCGGGAGGAATGCAAACGCGAACTATCGTTGTCGCTTAGGCATGTGTGACTATTACATGTGCAGATCTCCCTTTCCTTCCGAGGACCCCCTTCAACGTCCATATTGCATCATATGTCCCTGTGTCGTAATGCTAGCGACTGGGACTCCAACATCAAGGCGCAGTCCTCATCTCATCATTTGATGTTGTACAAGACTCAGCAATCTTCAAGATGCCAATAGATCCAAACGGCTCAACGGTCGTCGTAGGTTGCGTCGCCTCATACGACACGCGACATTGCTGAATCGTTCGCAGGCTACTGAATGGGCCCTTATTTCTATCGCGACCGCGGTAATTCTAGCACGGTTGTATCTCCGCCTCATCCTACAAAGACGGAATCTACTCGCAAGCGATGTGTTCATGTGCGCGGCATGGGTTTCGGCGGTCGCTTTAGCAAGCTTCGACATTTACTTCTTTCGTATAGGCATCTTCAAACCTGGCACTACATTCGATCTGGCCGGATTTGAAGGAACTGCGGAGGAGGCCGAGAACTTCTACAAGGTATAAACCCTCTAGGCCAAACATGAATATCGCCAGCTGAGATATTTGAACAGCTCTACTTTTTTTCTACTTATCCCTTCTACACCACTTTCTACTTCTCCAAAGCAGCTCTGTTGGCTGTGTACTTACAGATCTTCCCTAGCTTTATGGTAAAGCGACGTCGATTCCTCTGGACTGTTATCGTCTATGTTGCGATAGGGTTCATTGTTACAATACTTTTACTTAGCCTGTCGTGTCTGCCAGTATGGAGAAACTGGTGGGTTCATTTGGTAGTCTCCCACGCTTTCAGGGTTATACTAAAGTCGCTTGAAGGACCTTATCGGACCAAAGATGCACCGTTAAAAGCATCAAAATCAACTTCGAGATTTCCTGGGTCCTAAACATCAGTTCAGATATCCTCAGTACGCCGTAGCCCCAAGAACTCAAGGATTCGTGCTAATCAATGATGATATATAGTTTTTATTCTGCCCTGGCTCGTCATCCCCGAGCTGACACTGAGGAGAAGACTAAGGTATAGTCTTTACGCAACGTTTCTCCTTGGTCTCATCAATATTATCTTTTGTGTAGTCCGTTTTGCTCAGATCGAGCAATATGGTGGGGATTTGGTAATTACCATCAGTCTTGTCGGTAAGTGTTATAAATAAGGAGAGACTCCCAACTAAAGAAGGGGGCTGATAAGGCAATCCGTCTTTTACACAGAATTATGGAGTTTCATCGATGCTTGCATTGGCCTGATCATCGCATGCCTTCCATCACTCCGGCCTTTCTTCAACTGGCGAGAAAAGATTCAGTACTATGGTCAGAGCAGCGGTCAAGACAGTAAAGGGTACTCAAGCCATAATTCACGAAGACCGATGGTATCGTCAGACCCAGAAAGTTTGACTCAGCCATCTAACGTTCACTTGAGTGAGGATATGCAACGGAGATTCTCAGTAGCATAAGAATAACGGAGGAGGAGGAAACTCAATCACAAAGGAAAGAACTTTTGCGTGATTTGACATGATATATACCCTTTCGTTGAAATAGCTTTTCATTATGCAAAGACTCCGAGGCGGTCAAGTGACTCGTAAATAGAATTTTCGTATGGCTCTTATCGGAAATATTTGTCTCTACCATGCTCATTGTATGTCACTCTATATTGGCCAAAAGAATGGTATGTATGCATAAAAGCCGCGCAAGCCGGCTATCGTTGTATGTTCAGTTAGGTGCTAAGCTATGTACAATGAAGTAAAGACCGGTCCTGAGTGAAGTCCAGTCACAAGTCCGGACTCATAAACACGTAATCCCATCTGAAGCTCTGAAGATATAGGGAAAGACTATCTTCAAGAGACTGCCATATCATGATGACCCCAGAGCTTCTAGTCATAGTGCCTCTTTATTAACCCTGAGAGACAGTCATGCTGGCAGAACCAGAGCTGTAGTAGCCCTCGACAGCAAGGATCTGATAGTTGTGGTTACCAAGGTTGAGGCCGACATTCTTCCAAGCCTGGAAGTGAGCACCGGTGTTGACGGATCCGCTGGAACGCTTGTTGCGTCGAACAGACCAGAACTGCTGGAAGGTCTTGTTGCCCTCAATGGAGGGGGCGTTGACACGGGTGCTGACGTAGATGTCGTAGACAGATCCGTCAACAGTGACCTCACCCTTCTTCTGGCCGCCGGAAGAGGGGTTGTAGGTGCCGAAGTTCTCAACGATGTAGTACTCGATGAGAGGGTTCTGGGTCCATCCGTAAACAGCGAGATAGCTGTTGCCGTTGATGTTGTAAGTACCAGAGTACTTGATGGTGCTGGATATAAAGTTAGCATCAAGCTCCACGAAGCAGTGCAGGTGGAACCTACCGGGCAGCACCGGGCATCCAGCCCTTTCCACCAACGTGGTTACCGTTTCCACTCCACTGCATACTGAACTGACCACCGTTGCCGTTGGTGTAGGTGACAGAGTTGGGAGTGTCAGTCCAGAAAGAGAAGTAGTAGCCACCGCTTGTGCCAGTAGTGGGCTGAGTGCGCTTGTCGAGGACGTTTGTGGGAGGGTCACGCTCAACAACGCTGAAGCCGTCAACGGGCTGAGCGGAGGGGAGAGCCATGACGCTAGTGACAGCCGAGACGGCGGCGAGGATGGAGGTGAAGGAAACCATTTTGATGATGTTGGCTTGAAGACTGTTGGAGACTGAAGCTGTTGGTTGATGGGATGAAGACACTGAGTGATGATGAGGGCTCTGGTCGTATTTATATTGCCAAGTGGCAGCACCTCGGCGATCCTTAATTGCTTTACATCATTCGAGTCTGGCCCAGGTTCGCCAGACTTGTGGGGAAAAGGAATTGCCTAACATGGATGTGAAAGTGTCCGAGATCGATCTAAGTCTGTATGAAGTGTATACCCAATTTTGCCGGCGAGATAACCACTGGGAAAGTAAGGATCGATGGAAATGCTGGTTTAACGAGCGAGTTGACAGCAGTCATCCCAATGTGATTAGTGGGTCGATGATATCCCGGAAACTGAACCAGGTCAGTAGTCATCTCCGTACTATGAAACATGCTAACCGATGGGGTCTGGTTTATCCGGCCTTCGTGCAATTTCGGAGGAACAATGCCCGGATCGTCCGATTTAGGACAAGACATGATCTCGAATGGGGAAAGCAAAAGCCGGCATTCGTAACATGGAGCCACATGGCATCGATGCAAGTCTTGCCATAGAGCCACCATGAATGGGGCGGAGGTTGCATTGACTGCCGAAGACCCCAGACACGGCCGCGAGCTAGGAGCTGGGCCGAGAACTAACGTGTTTGATTAGGAAGGGGAGGACGAGGATCGGACATTCAGCCTAAAAACCAAGGTTGCGTTTCAGAAGATCAGCGTGAGGGTGCATGGTGTATAGCTGAGGTTTGTTAAGATGTAAAACGACGAACTCAGTCTAGAACCAGCTCATGACTCAGGGATAACACGAGAAAGCACGCTTGTCTAGCGATCCTTTGCCTTGGTAATTGGTGCATTTATTCGGGATTGATCCGTGCTCAGTGCACACACGGTTAAAACCGAACGATGATGGTGTCTTTGACAGGCCAATGTACGTACGTAGGCATTGGATAATGGATAGCGGTCTAACATACAATTTGGTCCCGGCTAAATTTGAGAAGAATCCAAAGTGACAAGAGGATCCACCAAGCCGCGTTTTAGTGGCGATGTAACTCCAACACTTTAAATCTAAGGCACATATCAATGCATTGTGAGCTTGCGGGGAACGCCAAAATGATCGAATCAGGGTATCACATCGCAGTCTCTCCAAGGCCGCTGTCGTGAAGAATCGAAGGACTCATTCAGGCAAAATGCCAATGCCGATCTTTCATCCAGCCAAGACTGTTCCTGCGCCGTGATTAACCGCCAAGATGAACTTCCAGCTCGGCATAACACCTCCATAAGTCTTCACGACAGCCTCATCAAGCACATACGACCAAAGCTCGTAGNNTAGTTGGGTCGGTGACGACCAGCGAATCCCCGGTGTTGTATGTTATTTTTGCTCCGTAGACAAGTGAATGGTCTTGTCGGACCGGTTGCTTTTTTACTCTGTGATGATACTCATGGGTTGCTTCGTATAATCGCGGTGGAATGGGCATACTCCAATTGTGAGCCGCATCATCCATAAGCCGGGGTAAATCCGCGTCATCAGACTTCGCAATCGCCGAAACTCTGTCTATGATCATCTTAGCAATCCTGCCCTCATTTGCTGCAAATATCATATCAGGCTGTTGTAAAATGTAAAGGTGCAGGCCCTGCTGAAACTATATTATCCAGAGCATTATGAACCGTATGTTGTTCGCGTTCGTTCCGAATGTCCAAAGTAGGAATCACTTCATGGCTTCCGAGCCATACTCTAGTTTAATTGAGCGGTACAAGCTCTGCCTCTTCAGGTTCTCTGCATTTATTAATGATACCTCTGCGGCAATGTCACGCTATTCTTATGTAAGAATGGATAAGATTAAGCGGAGCGCAAGTTGTAAGAGGATTGTGAGACTATCTCTATGTTGACATCATTGACTTGACGGCATTCCTATCACCAATAAGCTGGAGAACTTCGAAAGCTGTAGGCAATGGTAATGAATAATCAGGACTTCATTTATCGGGTAAACTTAGGCCATCCTCTCAATTTTTCGGATATGAGAGTGTCATCACTGCAACAAGTCGAGTGAAAATTATTTCATTTGATTCAAAGCATTGATGATGGTTTAGCAGCTTTGGTCTCAAGAAGCTGGGATGAAGGAAAAATGGTTAATGCAGCTGAAGGTACTGTTGAAAATCTCATATTGGACCAATGGAACCTCAAAATACCACCAAATTCTCTTTCAGAATACTAGAACTGATATTAGCTCCAACCTTTCTTATGAAGTATCGGGTAAGCATTGTTGAGCCATTGAATTGAGTTTACTTGAGCGAGAGTGGGGTCATTCTGTTTCCGCACTAACTCAGCACGCCCAGAAATGAGCCCGCAAGTGTTATGGCGCTATGAACCGTCACATCATAAGCCGCTTAGCAATAACATCGAACACTACAAAAAGTAACTCACGAAATTTCTGGATTGATTGATCTGACAGTTGATCATGACAGATCAAGAGATCAAATGGTTGCTGGAAGTACAAGTTTCTAAGTTAAAAACGTTTATTTAGCGTATCCGTAGATGGTAAATAATTGCTTGAACCTGGAGTTATAAATTAGCGGGTAGAACTCTGTGATAGTTTGATAAAACGTATCTTACCGGGATGATTATCTACTAGAAGATCTCGTAAGAGGATGGAAACAGACATTTGAGAAATGTTATTCCATTGGGGGATGTTGACCTTATTGTGAAGGTTCTGCTGAAAAGGTTAACTTGAACACGCTTCAATCGATTATTTGCACTCTCAGGCTTCAAGGGTTATTTCCCATTCAAAGATCATAGATGCTCATGTAGTTTGATGTCGAAGACAATGACTAATTTGAGTGTTGGACTAAACAGTTCACCGCACGCGAGGAACATCGACAAAATTCTGCTGAACATGCGATCAGTGCAGGAAAGTGCGAGCGAACATAAAAGCAGGCACCTTAAAAAGCGTGAATAAACCATATTCTTATCTGAGTTCACCTCGCGCCTGCTGTTCAGTGTTCACATATTACCTCTAAGAATCACCACTGGGAGTTTAAGCTCCTGCCCTTAAATACGGACGCCTTCTTCTGCTGTGCAATGTTTATCTAGCTTACTCTCTCGTCATCAATCAATCACCCCATCCCATCGCATACCGCACGCATTAAGAGATTCCCTAAGCAAACCATTCCATTATGGACGACTTCCCTTCATGCGCGTCAGAGCTGCGTAAACAAAAGCAAGCACAGGGCTTATCGCTGGCCATGAATACTCCCTCGCCCATTCCAGCAAAAACCGCAAAGCCCAAAAGCTATGCTGCGGCACTCAGGGCACCACGGCCGCCACCTGGACCAACACCGCTCACATGGGGAGCGTTAGATCGCCTCGATGTCAAGAATTTCAAAGAAGAGGTGCGAGGTGCGAACTCCTGGACCAGTGAAGAGCCAAAACGTCGAATCAAGGAATGGATTTTCCGGGTCAGAGCTCTGCAGAATGGAAAGGAATTGGTTCATCCGGAGAACCCACCCCAGTCAAAATAATGGGATTGGTTCAAAACTTGGCTTAGGTCGGGGTACTTTAATGAAGTGAAGCGGATATTACACCAGGCATAGACTTCACATTCGACAACCAGTACGAGATGCATGAGGTGCACGAGGGAATAAAGAAATTGACAAAGGGACGCTGTCGGGCAAATCTTACGACGAAATTCAATTTTATTATTTATTATAACGCATTATTGCTCAGGCTGTGAATGCCTCCTTTCCGACTCGATATATGACGGCAATGAACTGGAACATCTCGCGCTGCTTTCAGGAAGCCCGATATCCTCAGCGTCGGGTTGGGCATCCCCATTCTGCTCCTCCACTGTGAGCTGTATAGGCAGTACCAACTTCAGGGTTGTCGACGCAACATTAATAGTTACATGTAGTTGATATGTCCTGGCAATCAGGCAAGAATAAAAAGTAGGCAAAAACATTTTCTTATCGCTCGAAAAGCTCGTGATGGGTATTTCAATATGGCTGCTGAATGTCTCAGCGGTCTCGGTGACAACACTGTCTGTTTGTTTTGGTGAATTCTTCTCCCAGCTTACGCTGACCTCTGCCTTCTTCACGAGAGTCTCGGAGCCATTGTAGCAGTCTCTCGCGTTGACGATATGAGGAAGCTGTTGCATGGGCTCATCCTGTGACCATGTCTCTGACTCGATCTTCGCAGAAACACTGCATGTTTGTGGTAAGCTGGCCTTTTGGTCGCTCAGCTTCAATTTGAGAGACGTTGTAATCGACGTAGGATGGAAACCTTTCCCGCTGGAGTCAAGAACGATTGCTTGCGGTTGCTCAGTATATAAGGTGATCTCGCCCGAAGAGCGACAAAAGACGTTGGACTTGAGTTGCTTCGATGACGCGAACTTGAATGCTCGGTTTGCTGTTGGGATCTTCAGAGGAGGATGCTCGACATGGCCTGGCAGGAACTGGACGGTTTCTTTGGCTTCCATCTTGGCATACTCTGGGTTCGCCGAGTCCCAAATCTGAGCAATAACACCGTAGTCAACGCGCACGCCTCTTGGAATCATCGCATCACCCTCCCAGCCTGTGATACTTGGTGGGAGATGTGAGTGCAGCTGTCGTGTTTCTTGCCATATGACGTTATGTGAACAGGCCTCTGTACCGAGGCCATTGGGTAGAACAAAGTAAAATGGAACCGTGTAAGTCTCATTTGGCTGAAGAATCTTATCCGCTGGTAGTGCCGCTTGCTCAATTGGCATTTCCAGATCAAGTAATCGATGCCATGTCTCAAACGATAAACTGGCATTGGGTCGCTCGACGCTTGAGTCGCAAACAAACTTTATTGAGATCTTGGTGAAAGGAGTCTGCTTCTTAGGCTTGATGTTGACAGTGCCCATCACTATGGAGCCAGGGCGATAGCGCTTAGATGCATAATGATCATGGATATTAATGGTCAAGCCATTTTTCTTAGGGGGCAAAATGGAATTAAGGCTCTGTAGGGCTGATGGATTGAACGGGCTAAGCACCGGGCGTGTCTGAAGAGGGACGCCGGATCTTTGCGTGTAAGGAGGCTCCATATTGACAATACTGGTTGGAATTGATCCGACATCTTGGCGATATTTGGCCTTATTGTTATACAATTTCTGCCTGACTAGGCATCTGCACTTTTCTCGATAAGTCGAGTCAATTGATCAAGGCAAGTGACTCACGAAATCTGCGTAGTACATGTCATCGGCTTAATCTGACCCGACCGTTACGCCTGCAAACAATGTGCGCGTCGGGACAGACCGCGTAATTGAGTCACTGGGTGTCGCAAGCACAGTCATCAGCTAGATTATCGATCCGCCAGCCAATTAAATGTCTAGTAAGATCGATAAAAAATTCACGGTTAAGGCTTTTCTTATGCACCTTTTTAGTGCAGCACGGCACGTATGATCCGAATTAAGGTAGTGCTCCGTGCAGGCTGATTAATACTCGACGACGACGCTAAACACCAGAGATGAATTTGACGTGATTGGAGGGAAAAGGTATCGTGAAGTGATTGTTAGCGTCAATGACAGAATCATCCACGACAGCGGAATTCATAAGTGCTCACGCAATCCTCCTCAATTACAAAGCCAATGGCCTGATGATTTGAAAGAAAGTGTTCAACATCACTTACGAATCTTGGACAGGAGTCATTGCACCATCGATACCACTATCATCCGGACGACATCCTACACGCAATGTAGAGTCTTTGACGTGGAGCGACATAGGGAACGATAGCCACAATTGGTCTAATTTGATGGTTCTGGCAGAGTCGAAAATGCAATTGGTCATTATACGGAAGCCTGTGTCTCAATATCTCGTGGTTACCTGCCACTAAAGGGATGATACAGAAGCCTGGCCATGCCGTATCCATAACTGTTCAGGCAGTATCTCTTTACTTCAACTGTCCGCGCGTTATATGCAGAGCAGCGCAAGAATTGAGCCCGAAGAACATGACGAAGACGTCATGACATCTGTCAGCATACGTCGATGCCTGTACTCAACCGAACCGGGTCGCGATTAACAATGCAGCTGGCAAGCTAAAGCCCCTTGCATATAGTCTGCAACCAGACTGAACTCAAGCACATACGGCCATACCTATCAGAGAACTCGGGATCCCGTCCGCTCTCCCATAGATAAGCTGGTAAGGGGCGGATTAGTAGTTGGGTCGG